TATCCCCTGTGTGCCTTGATGAGAAGAATGAACGCTTAAAAATTTCAAGTTATTTGGATTTGTAGAAAACAAATTAAAATTCAAACACGAAATGAGGTCATGACCGTCAGATCGACCCAGATTCAATCTGAGCTGTTGGGCTCATATTTTCATATGAGCTAGTGGGCTAATCTCAGCATTTTCCTATATATATATATATATATATATGTATATATATGTATATATGTATCTATATGGTTTTTTTATACTTAATAACCACAAAAAACATAGGTTCAAGTTAAAATCATTTGTGAAGTACATTTTAACCGTCATTGCCTCTATATTGTTAGAAGCCAAAGCCTACATAGAAGGGCATTTTAGATATTTTGTTTAAAAATAAGAAACTGAGAGTGAGGAACTTTGAATTTGGGGGTCTTTCTCTCCCCATCGTCTCTCTCTTTCTCACACACACACACTTTGGCCTCCCCCAATACCACTATCTCACGTTTTCCCTCCATCTTCTCTTATGATGTTCTTTGCCCTCCCCCATCCTCTCCCTTTGTCTCTCTCTCTCTCCTCCCTAGTTTTTTCATTTTAAAATTATTATCTCTCTTTCTTCCCATTTTTTTCTCATGCTTCATCGCCATTCCTGTTCTCTCCATCTCTCTGTCTCATTTCTAAATTCTGATGAACTTCTAATCATGTGGGGCTGAGGTCTGTTTGAGCATTGTTCTTCTTTAATGAACCATCATTTGCTTTGACGTTCCCATTGAATTGCTCAAAAGAATATATACATATACACTTAGCAGAATCAATTATACCTCCATGGAAAAGGTTTACTAAGCGCTATTGTAGAGTGAACAAGTGTTCTGGAATCCTTATATTTGATGTGCTTCGTAGGAAAATGCTGTATCTTAGTTGTTGTAGTTGATTTGCTTATTACACAGAAACCCTATGGGATATGGATAGTGTATTCAGTTCGCTAATTGTATTCAACATATTTCATTTAAATTTTTCTTTAACAGAAAGTTAATTGGATACGGAAAAGGTTTTCTATGAGTTTTCTCATTTGCAAGGGCGTAGTTGATGTTATTAGGGAGAAAAGTGGTAAACCCGATCTAGTAACTAACCTACGTGCTCACAGGCTCTAGTTGTATGAGGTTGGGACTTAAGTAGATAAGTTTGTTCCCCAAATTCCTCTTACCTTGCTGCATATTACTGCAATAGGTATTACTTGGGATCATATTGATATTTAAAACACAGCCAATAGGGTTAAAGATAGTTATTAACTTTTTATCAGATAAAGTCAGGCAACGAGCAAAGACTGATTCAGGCTGCATGGGAGATTTTGTAATATTAACTGCAATGCGTACTGAATTTGTGGACTCTTCATGATGTTAAGTTCAGAGATGAAAGAAAGCTTTCTGGGTTCTGAAATAGCATGATTTTGCAGCTAAACTCCTTCTTGGGGACGTTCTAAAAGAAGGTACTCCTTTATCCATCAACCCACTAGTGATATGGGCATGGTCTGGGCTTCTCATTAATGCTATCAACAGCATCCCTGCAGGGGAGCTAGATGGTGGGCGTATTGCCTTTGCATTATGGGGAAGAAAGGTACTTATGGAATATCTTGGTCCATTGTTATTTTTTCTTGTTACATCCCTGTTATTTATAAAAAAATGTTACATATGCATTCTCTATATACATACACTTTTTACAGTAGGAACTTTTTGGATATGTCTGTGAACGTTTTTGGTTAAACTATAGACCAATGGACCATAGAAAGCTTAGGGTCATGACTGATCGACAAAAATGATTGACAGTTCCTGGGTAGAAAGTAGGACCCACTCCCCAATGGTTGGTCGCCTTACTCTCTATTGCCATCCATCATGTCAATGGGTAATGGTGACCTAATTTTCTATAGTTCCTATTTCTTTTCATTAACTAGAAAATACTGCTGATGTATGCATACTGGCTTGTTTATATGTGAAATTGAGAAGAGATTAACTGGGGTCTTTACTGTTGTATTTTGCAGCCGTGGTCTCGCATTACTGGGGTCTCTATTGCACTTCTTGGTTTCTCCGCATTATTCAATGATGTCGCATTCTATTGGGTTGCTCTGATTTTCTTCTTGCAGAGAGGGCCAATTGCTCCTTTATCAGAGGAGATCACTGATCCAGAAGACAAATATGTAGCTCTTGGTGTGACGGTTCTTCTCCTGGGACTTCTTATACTTGTACCTTATCCACTTTCTTTCACAGCAGAAAGCATGGTCTAGAAATTTAACTCAGGGTGGCATTTTCTGCTAGACTATAGTATAATATCCTTTGTATAATTAGATAGGAGGCTCTGAAATTTTGTCACTTGCATCAAGTGAGCTATGTACATCTTCTGTAATCCTGATTCTTAACTGTTATCTACTGTTCAACGGAGATACAAAAATCCATAGAAATTCATATCTACTTCTAACTTTAGCTAAATTAAACTTTCACAGGAGTCAGAGATAAAAGAGTATGAAATTTTGATTCTTTCATTAACAGTTGCTCAATAAATCAAAATATACAAATAACCAAAGGCTATACATGAATTGCGCAAGTGAACTAATGAAAAAATTGAAAATCGTAACAATGACTTTTCGACACTTCATTCTAGCTTCTCACATACGGTACCAGATATTTAACCCTATCGTCATCCATTTCAGTTGGAAGTGTGACCATCGCACTCTGCTTGAAAGTGATTGGGAGTATAGGCCCCACGAGCACATATATTTTCACTATTTTTCTACTCATATCTTGAGTATTTTGATCCAACCCACCTGATTCATTTTCATCTGTGTTCCAAACTATGAAATAAATCACCTCATCAAATGCTTGGTCCAGAATCAGCAATGAGTCAACCTGAAGAGAGCAGTATAGACCAGCTCAAACAGTAAGAGCCCCACCACCTGCTAGTTCAAATCTGACCAGCAACCTCATCAGTTTAGAGCACTGATTGATTCTCATTCATGCTTTTCAAGGGAAGTATGTTTTTGACACTCTCCAAAAGAAAACATATGTTTGCCTCTCAGATGGGGTCAATGGGATTCATCTTGTCCCGGCAAGAGCACTCCGTGTGCACCGCTTTCCACTTACTGGTATCCAGACCAGTGCAAAAAACACAAAACCTTTGATCTAAGCTGTCTTCTTCTACTCCTTCCTTTTCCTCACCATCTTCTCCTTCTTCCTCTGCTTCTATCCTATTTAGTCCAATTTCTGAGATCAGTCGACCCAGAACCCGATCCACACACTCAAAATACCATAGCCTCTCATCTTTCCAAGCCATTAGAAGCCTGCCCACTACACCACCTCCAATTCCAAATCCTAGACCCCCCAAAACAAACTCCCATGAAGTGGCCTTCGCCTCCTCATTAGTTGTGCTATTTTTCTGCTGTTGTCCACAAGCCACATCTAATGGATATCCACAGAGCCCTGGGTTATGGGCAAAAGAAGCAGCATTGAAGGTTTGAAACTGGTATCCCTTGGGTATCGTTCCTGAGAGATTGTTCCAAGACAGGTTTAGAACTGAAAGGAAACTAAGCTTGCTAAGCCCCAAGGGTATGCTTCCTGAGAGATGGTTCTTTGAAAGATCCAAGGATTCGAGCTGTCTCAGGTCTCCAATAGAATCAGGTATAGGGCCCGTCAGAGTGTTTCTTGACATATTCAGTACACGGAGGCCCTTGAGCCCTCCTATTTGGCTTGGTATCACCCCTTCGAATGCATTGTTGGAAATATCAATGGCTGTTAGGATTGTCAAGATCTTCTGAAACTCCAAATCCTGACCTTTCATTGTGACTGTGACCATATCAAAATAATACAAGCTGCTTAGATAGAGGAACCCATATTGTAGAATTTGGGTTGAGTTGGTTTGTGACTCCTCTTGCATGGCCTTCCAGTTTTGAAAGCATTCTTTAGGCATGGGCCCGGAGAAGTTGTTGCCTGATAGGTCCAAGATTTGAAGTGCATAGAAACCAGGGGACCCTGTATCTGAAATGGGTCCATGAAGCTGGTTTGATCTCAGAACCAGGACTCGAAGGTGGGTTAAGGAACCTAGTGACGAGGGAAAGGTCCCAGAAAAATTGTTGTTACCCAAGTCAAGTATCTCCAGGTTGCTGCATTTGCTTAGTGAAAGGGGGACTTCACCTTGTAACTGGTTTCCATTGAAATTTAGTGTTCGAAGGTCACTGCTGGATCTGAACCTATCTGGAATTGAGCCCTGCAGCATGTTCTCCCTTAGGTTCAGCACGATCAGGCTGTCTATTGCGAAGAGGCACTCCGGAATCGAGCCAATGAGGTTGTTATGAGAAAGGTCGAGGACCTGCAGATTCTTGCTGTTGCATAGAGAGGAAGGAATTTTTCCAGAAAGATTGTTATGAGAAAGTGAGAGAAAGATGGAGAAATTCAGGTAAATGCCAATGCTTTCCGGGATGCTCGAGCTGAAAAGGTTGTTGGAGTAGTCCAAAAAAATGGCAGCTGAGGGGAGAGAGGGGGGACCTGAAAAGTGGTTTGAATGTAGGTCAAGGGTGAAGGAACTGGAGGAGGGATTGGCCAGTTGCCCTAGTTCTTGGAGCTGGTTTTTAGAAAGATTGAGTTGATTGAGACTCAACTTCCATAACCAGTTGGGTATTGCCCCTTCAAGTAGGTTATCAGAGAGGTCCAAATACTTTAATCTCTCTTGGGTTTTAATGAAATCGGGGAACTTGGTTATGTTGCATGACCGCAATTTCAGTGTGGATAAGTGAGGGAATGATTCATTGCCATTGCTGCTATTCAAAGAACTGAATTCAATAACTAAGTTGTTTCGTGATAGGTCTAGATTGGAAAGGTTCACACTCTTTGGGAGGAATGACTCAAGGTGAAGGGTGCCATTGAACTTGTTGGAGGAGAGAATCAGGACTTTCAGGTTAGAGAGAGAAAATATGGAACCAGGGATCTCTCCATTTAAGCCATTTTCGCTGAGGTCCAAGGTTTCCAACTTGGATTGAGGGGCTTGGAAATCAGGGACAGAAGTATCCAGGCCGTTCTCGCTTAGGTCTAGGACTTTTAGAGATGGAAGAGTGAAGAGAGAGGAAGGAATTGAACCGATAAGCTGGTTGTTCTTGAGGTTGAGTCTCGTTAAGTTTCGAAGCTTACCGAGAGATGTTGGGATCGAGCCTGTCAATAAATTGTGAGAGAGATCGATCTCTTGTATTCGCTGAGAACCCAATGAAGGAATTCCACCACTTAGCTGGTTAAAAGAGAGATCGAGACTGAGCAGGTCTGCGATGTTAGAGAGAGTAACTGGGATTGAACCATTGAAACTGCAGTTGTTCAATTCTAATTGGATCAAAGACCCCAGGTTACCAATGGAATCTGGCAAAGGGCCCGAGAAGTTAGTATTTGAGACCAACAGGTTCTTAATTGGGCTATTGGGGGGAAAATATGGGAAATATCCGGAGAGGCGTATGTTGTAGGAAACATCTAGCATCTGAAGTCTCTGAAGCTGGAAAATTTGAGCTGGGAATTCTCCCTTTAAATCGCATAAACTCAGATGCAACTCTTTCAAGTTAGAGAAACTCGCAAACCAATCAGGTATCGTGGAAGCAAGAGAATTGCCATCCAGGTGGATCTCAGAGAGAGAAACAAGTTTCTGGAGCGACTCGTCAAAGGGACCAGATAGAGAGCACCTCTGCAGGCTTACAATAGTAAGGCGAGGAAGCGAAGCTAAGGCTTGGCACCATTGAGAACTCGAGGAAGAAAGATTCAAACGATCAAGCCTGAGCTCCTTCAAGCTCTTTAGGCTTTGAACCAGGGTTTTGAAGTCTGGGTCCTCGAGCTTCAATGGGGTTGAAGAGAGAGAAGAAAACAACGGAGAGGTGGAGAGGTCAAGATGAACAAGTGAGATCAATTCTGAAATTTCCTTTGGTATCTGTCCGGAAAAACCAGAATTGGAGAGGTTGAGATAAACCAACCCTTTTAGCTGCCCAATTGAGGGAGGTATAGAAGAGGAAGATAAGTTATTAAAGCTCAGATCAAGGTATTCAAGGTGGGTTAAATTGAAGAGAGAAAAACTGATATTACCAGAAATTGGCAGTTGCCCTAAGCTGCACAGATTAAGTCTTTGGACAAAGCCAGTGAGATTGTTGCAGGCTATGCCTTCCCATTTGCAACAATCTGAGTTGGGTATCCATGACTGAAGCCTTGGAGGAGAGATAATTAGGCCTTGCTTGAACTGGAGAAGTGGGGTGCTCTGATTTTTTGGGCATGGGGCCTGGGCTATGGCTAGAGAGAGAATGGAGAAGCAAAAGGGCCATATCAGGGAGGACATTAGGAAGATAGAACGACGCTTGTTTAGGGAGAGACAAAGTTCCTACCTTTTGGAAGTTGGAAGTGGTTCAGTTTAAAGTCTTGAAATAGAGGTGGGGTGGGTTTGTGGCCGACCGGCCGACCACTGGTTTGGCAAGGAGGCCGTGTGGGGAAGATTGGCAGAGAGAGAAAATTGGAAACTTGGAACCTGAGAACAGTTACGGAGAGAGAGAGAAGATTAGCAGAGAGAAAAAATGGGAAACCTGGAACCTGAGTACAGTAATGGATTGAGAGATATGATAGGTAAGATAAACAGGAGGGGAGATATTCGTTGAGAACTTCTCAAGAGAAATAATTGACTAACTTTGATTCAGAGAGAGACAGATACGGTTCCAAGCAGAAATATGAAACGCATTGGACTTGAACAGGAGTAAAAAACAGAGAGGCTACCCTTTATTTTTAAAAAGAAAAAAGAAAAAAAAGAGAGAGAGATGAATTGACAGTTAGTGAGAGAGAGAGTGGGTTTGATGCTGTTTTGGTTTTTTGCAAAGAAAAGAGACTAAGGTGATGTGAGGAATTTGTTGGGTCAAAAGAAATGACGCGTTTTTGGAAGGATGCCGAAAGGACAGGCTCGCCCATTTTTTATCGGACCCGGTTTCTATGCGGTCAAGCCTTAGAAATGTGGGCTCGTAATAAATCTATTTTTTAGATGGTTTTTTGGATTTTATTTTTTAGATGGATTTTTGGATTTTAATTTTTAAAGACATGTACTTTTTAACATGGAGAGATGATGAATATGAAAACATAAAACCTAAATAATAATTTTATAAAAATTATATTTGAACCATTAGTTTCTATTATTTTTACATGAAACACCTATTTTTTTAAAGATCGATGCTGTGACTTTTTTTGGATCGTATAGTTATGCGGTCTGTAGCCCGAATGAAACAATTTTTCTCTGTCTCTCTCTTTACTTGTCTAAGCTAAAAGAGTTAAAAAAAAAATAAAATAGGGGCTTCAAATTTCATATTTATAAAAAATTAGAAAATTGTTTCATGCGGGCGGACAACATGACTACATATGCGGTCCAAAAATATAAAGCATTCATATTTAAGATGGATGCAAGTAGGTATTTCATCAAAAAAAAAAAAAGAAGAAGAAATTAATAGTTTTTTCATAAAAAAGTAAAAATTAACTGTCCAAATGTTTTTTTAAAATAAATTATTATTTTTAATTTTTAAAATTTATTTATTTTTCATATTCATAATCTTCGTGTTAAAGATTACATGGTTTTAAAAGTTACATCAAAAAATCCTCTCAAAAATAGATTTAGATTTATTAAAAAGCTCTCATTTCTACAGGCTTGAGCCACTTAATCACAGGCTCTTTGCTGGCAACATTTGATTGGAAATATTGGCGCTCTCTCTACCATTATGATTTTAATTGACAAACACTACTTTTCTGTTTATACTCTTTTTTTACAGTTTCTCTCTCCACCATTTTCATTTTTTTAATAGTTTCACTCTCTATACCATTTTCTCCACCATTTTGATTTTTTTAATAGTTTCCCTCTCTATACCATTTTGACTAAAAGCATCAGTTCTCTCTTATTGATTGAAAAATTGCTTCTCTCTACCATCTTACTGAATTGTAATTGAAGTTCAATTATCCAGGCTTTTAGGAGGTTCGTCTCTATTCTTTTTTCTTTTCTCTCTCGAACTCCTCCCCCTAATTACACATTTTCTCACTATAACTCCTCTCTAACCTCTCTGTGGGCCTTCTATTGCTGATTCTATTCTCTCTTAAAATATATCATTTTTACTAACTTTGTCTCTAATGGTGTTCTTGTCTCTCTCTAAATCATCTTTCATTGTGTTCGTTATCTCTCTTAACTCTTCCTCTTTCTAATCAAGTCATCTCTTACTAATTATAGTCTTTCTTCTGTCTCTCCTTTTTTTTTTTTGGCAGTCAATGGGGAGAGGACTTCTATCTTTCGTAGAAATTGAATCTAGGATGTAGCATTACCCTATCTTTGATAGAAATTGAGCTTAGGATGTAGCGTTGTAAATCGTCAAGCACTAACCATTTAGGATCATTGTGAAGTCTGATCTCTGTATTCGAGGGCTTCCAAACAAATACTCTTTAACACTATTTCCTGGTATCAACAGTTCAACTTCTATAGACTTCTAGGTTCCAAGGAATCCCCAAATTTGGGCCCTTAATGGCCTCCCTATGGTTCAGGTAGGTTTTTTAGGCAAATTTATGAAAGAATTCGTTAGAGATGAAGTATTTACTATGTTACTCATTTGCAACGATTTCAACTCAAGACTATGTATTTTTCTATGAATATTTTGAAATGAAATGAAATCAAAAGAAAAGTGTTAAATTATTCATCTCTCATGGGTGATTTGGTAAATTTAGCTCATCTTAAAAAGTTTATTTTTTGATGTATATATAGAGAAACCAAAGAAAAAAAAAAGTTGCATAATTTATTCATTTACTTTTCTTAATTTCCATTTTCCTGTTTTCTTTGGCTAAAATTTGACTCATAAAGTCTTCACTATTCCCTGACCGAAATCTCATTTGTCCAACGAAAGTTGGGAGAATTTCGGACCGTCGAAATTTCGGTTTTACGGCTCGCAGGTTTCTTTGTTGTTTCGAAATTTTCATGTAAATCAGTTTGGATGGCAAAAATGTATCCAAGAATTAGAATTGAAATTTTCAGGAAGTTCAGAGAATTTAATGTATTTCAATCTTGTAGGTTTTATTTCTTTAATTGACATTTACGTAAATATTCCCAATACTTTTTTAAATTGGCTCAATTGACCTATGATAGGGTTGAAACCAATGGTTTAAAAAATTC